TGTTTGGCTTTTCTGTATTTAAATCCCATTTCCTTTAGGAAAGCTCTTACAGTTCAGTCACAAACATTGACTCCAGTTTTTCCCATTTGTTCCTCATTTGTTTTGTTTTTCACTTTCTGTTCTCAAGGCATTATGCTTTAAGTTTTTCTATATTGATGCTTTGATGCCTTCCTTGGTCTACCAGTACACTTCTTTTTTACAACCTTCCTATTTGATTTGTAGTTGGTCCAGATTTTAGACACAGCTTACTGGGAACAACCAGAATCTTTTGCAACTTTCCATGATGATTTACCTTCTTGAAGAAGTTTTACAATCCTCTCCTTTATTTCAACTGACATCTCTCCTGTTGGAGCCATGATTCATGTCAATCAGCTTGGTGCAACAGCTCACCAAAGTGTGCAAGCATTCTTTTTTAACTGCAGACTAAATTGCATATGTAATCTGATGCAGATGTTTGTTTTAGAACTGTAAAGTACATGGTGATTCCATAATATTTTTTTTCCTCAGAATTTAGTGATTCCGTATTTTTTTTTGCTGCTTGATCTGCAAAAATAGTTGCAATCGACTACAGTTTTCTTTCTTTTTTTATTTGTTTAAGTGTTTAATAAAGCCAGAAGGTTGGAATGTTAAATAAAAATAGATTTGAGGCATGCTTGTGATTAGTTTTTTATCTACACAATTAAACAATTGAATTAACATTTTCCAAGAGTGGTGATTCCATACTTTTTGCCAGGGGTTGTAAATATTCCACGGTCAACTGTTAGTGGTATTTTAACAAAGTGGAAGCAACTGAAAACAACAGCAACTCAGCAATGAAGTGGTAGGCCACGTAAAATGACAGAGCGAGGTGAGCGCATGCTGAAGCGCACAGTGCGCTGAAGTTGCCAGCTGTCTGCAGAGTCAATAGCTAAAGACCTCCAAACTTTGTGTGGCCTTCACATTAGCACAACTGTGCATAGAGAGCTTCATGGAATGGGTTTCCATGGCTGAGCAGCTACATCCAAGCCTTACATCACCAAGTGCAATGCAAAGCATTGGTGTAAAGCATGCTGCCACTGGACTCTAGACCAGGGGAGACGTGTTCTCTGGAGTGACGAATCACGCTTCTCTGTCTAGCAATCCAATGGACGTGTCTGGGTTTGGTGGTTTGCTAGGAGAAGGGCACTTGCCTGACTGCATTGTGCCAAGTGTAAAGTTTGTTGGAGGGGAGATTATGGTGTGGGGTTGTTTTTCAGGGGTTGGGTTTGGTCCCTTAGTTCCAGTGAAGGGAACTCTTAAAGCATCAGTATACCAAGACACTTTGGACAACTTTATGTGGGGATGGCCCCTTCCTGTTCCAACATGACTGAGCACCAGTGCACAAAGCATGGTTCATAAAGACATGGCTGAGCGAGTTTGGGGTGGAGGAACTTGACTGGCCTGCACAGAGTCCTGACCTCAAACCAATAGAACACCTTTGGGATGAATTAGAGCGGAGATTGTGAGCCAGGCCTTCTCGTCCGACATCAGTGCCTGACCTCACAAATGCGCTTTTGGAAGAATGGTCAAACATTTCCATGGACACCCTCCTAAACATTGTGGATGGCCTTCGCAGAGGAGTTGAAGCTGTTATAGCTGCAAAGGGTGGGCCAACTCAATATTGAACCCTACGGACTAAGACTGGGATGCCACTAAAGTTCATGTGCGTGTAAAGGAAGGCATCCCAATACTTTTGGCAATATAGTGTGTGTGTGACTTTTCTGGGAACAACCCAACATTTGGGATTTTCTTTTCCATTCACTTTCAGTGATAACGGTAAACAGGACAAATAGAGAGGGTGAATCTCCTTAACGGGGGCACAGACAGCAATAGACTGACAGAGCTTCTAATTCCTTCACTAAATCCAAAACTATAAAAAAAAAGTTTTGCCTTTAGTTATACTTTAATACTCCCCCCAGACTGACACTGCTGCTGTCCAAAGGTGCCCCTGTGCTCCTTCATCCAGAGTGGGGGCACTCTAATACAGGAGGTGTGTTACTGACCAGATCACCAGGTAAAAACAGACAGGAAAAATGCTAAAAAAAGAAAACTAATGCAGCCACCACCTCTAACGATTGGTAAGCTGCAATATATCCCATTTTTGGTTCGGGTCTAATACTGCTCTAAAATGGCGCTAAGCCCGGGTTCACACAGATGCGGTGAGGCACATCACATGTGATTTGCACAGAAACCACACCGCATTCCTGTGCAAATCACGTGGTGCAAATAGAGACATAAATTTTGTATGGCTCAGATCGCACCGCATCTGCACCAAAATAGCGCAGGATCCTTTTTTTTTTGTCCGCACCTGAATCGGATCGCATGGGTATTCACACCCATGTGATCCGATTCTGCACATCGCACTGCGTTTTGTGAACCGATTTCGGGGTGGTGTTGTTAACGTAAAATATACAGCTGCAGTGGTTTGCATGAACGGGGTGCGATCATGATGCAGTGGGGAAATCGCACAGAAACCGATGCAAATTCTGCACCGCATCAGTGTGAAGGCTGAAGTTTTTTTTTTTTATTCCCCCCTATACTTAGCTGAGCCCGATCTCGATCCAGCGCTGTGCATGAGAGCGGTAGCTGTCTTGGCTCTCTTCCTCCTCATTGGCTCAGATACAGCAGTGGGAGCCATTGGCTTCTGCTGCTGTCATTCACAGCCAGTGAGAGAGAGGGGGTGTGTGTGCTGAGCTGGGCTGTGTGTGTCAATGGTGCAAGCAGCTCTGGGGGCCCTCATCATGAAGGGGGGGGGAGCCAGGAGCGCCAGCAGGGGACCCCATAATAGAAGGATCAGGGCTGCATTGGCCAAAACCATTACACAGAGCAGGCAAAGATGACACATTTATTATTATTAATTTTAATAACCTTTTTGTGTGTCTTTGTATGCAAAATGTACATTTCTGGTTTTAGTGTGAATGAAAAAAACTCTGACAGGGAAAAGGGTGAAAAAATGTCACAAATCCTCCATATATGAATGGGAACTCCCCAGACTGCCCGTGTGATGTGTAGATCAGGACGGAGAGGAGTGGAGGTGAGAGCAGGGCACATAGGATGTAGGAGGATCGGGGCACTGGATGCACTCCCTGCTCCCAGTGCAGCCCATTCCTCACCCCGGAGGGATGCTGGGAGAGGGCGGGGCTCTGTGTGTATACAATGGCTGCCTGTAGCGAGTAGACAGGACATCCGGGGATCTGCTGCCATGGAGAGCTGTGATCACACCGTGCTATGTGTACAGGGTCTGTCAGCGGGATCAGCGATCACTATGAGAGTTCTGTGACAGGCTGAGCCCTGGGATCCTGACACCGGGCTTCTGCCATCATCACCATGCGGGGCGCAGAGGAGAGGCAGAGGATGATAGTGGAGGTCAGTCAGCGGTCTGTGTACTGTGCGGTCATTATACGGTCACATCCCTGCTCTGTGTATATAGTACAGCTGGCGGGGAAGGGGTTAACGCGGCCTTTGTTGGCCCATGTGCTCCCAGGTAGTGACAGGATGGTTGTTATGGGAGGGGCTTGTTGCTAGGCTAGTGATAAACAGAAACCAACTGTAGCATTGTGCATGACCGAAAAAAAGCTCTGCCTAGCAACCAATCAGCTTCTGTCTCTAGCTTGCTCAGTTTGAGCTTCGAAAATGAAAGTTAGATGCTGATTGGTTGCCAGGCACAGCTGCTCCAGAATCTGTCTGGTCCAGTCTTTTCAGTGAATTCCATGCTTGGCTGTCATCAATGGGGGATGTGTGTATGGCCCTGCTTTCATACAGTCTCACTCCTCCTGCTGCATTTTCATACCCACATAAATATTGGCACACAGAGAAGAACACGTGTGTTTCTATATACACACCTATCTAGAGTTTTACATACTAACTACATAAAGTGGCAAACAACAATTCATTCATTTGGTGCTTGATAATGATGCACTGTCCATCCATATATATCCCCTCCCCCGCCCGCTGTCCGTCCATACACATCCCCCCCGCCCGCTGTCCGTCCATACACATCCCCCCGCCCGCGTCCCGTCCATACACACCCCCCCCGTCGCTCCGTCCATACACATCCCCCCGCCCGCTGTCCGTCCATACACATCCCCCCGCCCGCTGTCCGTCCATACACACCCCCTGTCCGTCCATACACATCCCCCTGTCCGTCCATACACATCCCCCCGCCCGCTGTCCGTCCCCATACACATCCCCCTGTCCGTCCATACACATCCCCCTGTCCGTCCATACACATCCCGCTGTCCGCATCCCGCTGTCCGTCCATACACATCCCCCCCCGTCCATACACATGTCCGTCCATACACATCCCCATACACATCCCCCCGCCCGCTGTCCGTCCATACACATCCCCCCCCGCCCGCTGTCCGTCCATACACATCCCCCCCCGCCCGCTGTCCGTCCATACACATCCCCCCCCGCCCGCTGTCCGTCCATACACATCCCGCTGTCCGTCCATACACATCCCGCTGTCCGTCCATACACATCCCGCTGTCCGTCCATACACATCCCGCTGTCCGTCCATACACATCCCCCCCGCCCGTCCATACACATCCCCCCGCCCGCTGTCCGTCCATACACACATCCCCCCCGCCCGCTGTCCGTCCATACACATCCCCCCCCGCCCGCTGTCCTTCCATACACATCCCCCGCCCGCTGTCCGTCCATACACATCCGCCCGCTCCGTCCCCCCCCCACCCGCTGTCCGTCCATACACATCCCCCTCCCCCCCCCCCGCTGTCCGCCATACACATCCCCCTCCCCCCCCACCCCCCGCTGTCTGTCCATACACATCCCCCTCCCCCCCCACCCCGCTGTCCCCGCTGTCCGTCCATACACATCCCCCCCCACCCGCTGTCCGTCCATAACACATCCCCCCTCCCCCCCCCCCCCTGTCCGTCCATACACACCCCCCCTCCCCCCCCACCCGCTGTCCGTCCATACACACCCCCCTCTCCCCCCCCCCCACGCTGTCCGTCCATACACATCCCCCTCCCCCCCCCCCCCCACCCGCTGTCCGTCCATACACATCCCCCTCCCCCCCCACCCGCTGTCCGTGTCCATACACATCCCCCTCCCCCCCCACCCGCTGTCCGTCCATACACATCCCCCTCCCCCCCCCACCCGCTGTCCATCCATACACATCCCCCCCCCCCCCCCACCCGCTGTCCCCATACCCCCCTCCCCCCCCCCCACCCCGCTGTCCATCCATACCCCCCGCTGTCCATCCATACACACATCACCCACTGTTCATCCATACACACCCCCCCCCCCCCCACCTGCTGTCCATCCATACACATCCCCCTCCCCTGCCAATCTGCTGATTGGATGTGTCATATCACATCACAGAGACTTGTGTTGACAAACAACAAAGGGCTCTAAACAGAGGGAAGGATCTGCAAAGGGAAAAGAAACAAATCAATCTGCAGTGAAAAGTGGCACATACTGCACACATTAACACTTGTTGGGCACACAGTTAACACCTTCCAAGCCAGTGTCATTACTACAGTGACAGTGCATAGTATTAGCTCTGATCACTGTTGTCCCTGGTCATGCCAGTGTCAGTCAGGTCCCACAAAGTGTCAGTGTCAGATTGTTCGCCCCCCTATTGCAGTCCCAGTAGAAGTTGCTGTCGCCGCCATTACTGGTATGGAGAAAAAAAAATTACAGTGTGCATATACTATAGTTTATAGACTTTAGAACTTTCACACAAATATACACTTTATTGGGATTTTTAGCGTTGTGTGCAGGCGGCAGAGAGGCGTTTGGGAAGCGTTTTTACCGCTTCCCAAACGCCTCTGCCAATTCTGCACATTACAGCACATGGTGTTGTTCTAACGGGAGCGTTTGCGTCGCATCGCGCCAAAACGGACGCCTATGGTCGAGTCAGGAGGCGTTGAAGCCTCCTATTCTAGTCTATGGTGCTGCTCCGCAAACGCCTGGCCGGCATTTGCGGTGCGGTTGCGACGCTTTTGCGGAGCGGTAACACCACTCAAACTGAATTATAGGCGTTTGTGGGGCGTTATTAACGCTCGGCAAACGCCTAGCAACCGCTGCTAAACCGCGCATGCGGTGTTTGCGGAGCGTTTAAAAACGCTCCGCAAACGCCGGACCAATGCTTGCCAAACGCTATAGGGGCGTTTGGCAAGCATTGGTAAAACAGCCAAGTGTGAACGAGCCGTTAAAGTAGCACACTGCTGAATATCAGAAAGTGTTGTGGTCATGAAGGAGGTAAAATCTTCTGGAGCTCGTGGTTAACAAAGCGTGATGTGAAATTTTATCCCACAGTTACAGATTTGTAGCTGTCGGAGTCCTAAATGAGTTTTATACATTTTGTAAATAGTGTCATGTTTAAGCCCATAACGTCCCCCTCTTGCTTGCTGCAAGGACAGATTTGTGGGTGAGGTTTGAAAACAATGGTGTCATTCTTGATGTTGAACGTCCTATGGAATTTCACAGCTTATTTTACATCTGTGAGTCGTGAAGTGCATTCACACTTGTGTACCCATTAGACAGGGCAGAGAAAGTGCTTTGCTGCTTGTGTTTTTCCTGAAGCCAGGTACTGCAGACCTCTGATTAGATACTTCCCTACAAGCTGGCTTTCTGCAAATGTGATCTCACTAACACACATCTGAAACACGACTACTCCTAGCTGTGCGTATCTATGTATACCAATTATTCATTTAAACACTTGCCCTGCTGAGGATTTCCCCCCCTTCCTGACCAGGCCATTTTTTGCGTTACGGCACTGCACTACTTTGACAATTGCGCAGTCATGCAACGCTGCACTAAAATGAAATTTACGTCTTTTTTTTCTTTGGTATTTGATTACCTGTGTGGTTTTTACTTTTTGCGCTATAAACAAAAAAAAAATCAACAATTTTGAGGAAAAAAAACACTCTTTTTGACTTTTTCTATTGAAATATAAAAAAAATTTAAATCAAATTTCTTCATAAATTTAGGCCAAAATGTATTCTGCTACATGTCTACAAAAAAAAACAAAAACCCAATACGTGTAAATTAATTGTTTACGTGAAAGTTATAGGGTTTACAAATGGCGGTAATAGACTGGATTTTTAAATTTTTATTTTCCACTAGTAATGGTGGCGATCAGTGACTTATAGTGGGACTGCAACGGGCATTCGGACACTGGGGGGAACTGGGTGTCATTGACAAACCCAGTGACACCAATACAGTGATCAGTGCTAATAAAAAGCACTGACACTGTACTAATGGCACTGGGCAGGATGGGGTTAACGTGGGGCGATCAAAGGGTTAACTGTGTACTGCTTCACATTATGTGCTTTGTGGCTTTCAACTGTAATCACACTGCTTTATATGGCTCTGCATAGCAAAGCCATACAAAGTAGTGTGCAGGAGCTGACAGGGGAGAGAACTGTATTGTTTACATACCGTTCTCTCCCCCGTGGGTAATACTCGGCTGTCACCGGCCGGGACCCATTGATTGACAGGTGAAGCCACAAATGGTGGCACTGGTAGAGCATGCGCCAGGCTCATGCACACCGCCTACCCGGAACTGCATAATCACGTGTATATATACGTCATTTTGGGCACAGCTGCCGCCCTGTATAGTATTTCTGCTATAGGGCGGACGGGAAGTGGTTAAAAAGATAACTTTGTACTAAAGTTCTGTCTAGTAAACTAGCAGCATATACTAAATGTAGTATGTAGAGGTGCCCCTGTTGTCTTCACTACACCCTGAGAGTTCCCAAGCTTTGTGCAATTACCAACTATAAAACTTAGTTTGCCCAGTGTTGGGCTTCACTGTTGGTCCCTGAAGCTTAGCGTTTATTTTCTCCAAAAAAGTGGTATAGTTCAGCTTTTCGGTTACCGTATATACTCAAGTATAAGCCGACCCGAATATAAGCCGAGGTACCTAATTTTACCACAAAAAACTGGGGAAAACTATTGACTCGAGTATAAGCCAAGGGTGGGAAATGAGGCACCTACTAGTCAATGTAAAAAATAAAGTGGGAGGAATAGTGCCCCATCATTAGTATCAGTGGGAGGAATAGTGCCCCATCATTGGTGTCAGTGGGAGGAATAGTGCCCCATCATTGGTGTCAGTGGGAGGAATGGTGCCCCATCATTGGTGTCAGTGGGAGGAATGGTGCCCCATCATTGGTGTCAGTGGGAGGAATAGTGCCCCATCATTGGTGTCAGTGGGAGGAATAGTGCCCCATCATTGGTGTCAGTGGGAGGAATAGTGCCCCATCATTGGTGTCAGTGGGAGGAATAGTGCCCCATCATTGGTGTCAGTGGGAGGAATAGTGCCCCATCATTGGTGTCAGTGGGAGGAATAGTGCCCCATCATTGGTGTCAGTGGGAGGAATAGTGCCCCATCGTTGGTGTCAGTGGGGAATAGTGCCCCATCGTTGGTGTCAGTGGGAGGAATAGTGCCCCATCGTTGGTGTCAGTGGGAGGAATAGTGCCCCATCGTTGGTGTCAGTGGGAGGAATAGTGCCCCATCGTTGGTGTCAGTGGGAGGAATAGTGCCCCATCGTTGGTGTCAGTGGGAGGAATAGTGCCCCATCGTTGGTGTCAGTGGGAGGAATAGTGCCCCATTGTTGGTGTCAGTGGGAGGAATAGTGCCCCATCGTTGGTGTCAGTGGGAGGAATAGTGCCCCATCGTTGGTGTCAGTGGGAGGAATAGTGCCCCATCGTTGGTGTCAGTGGGAGGAATAATGCCCCATCATTAGTATCAGTGACACCAATGATGCGGCACTATTCCTCCCACTGACACCAATGACACTTGCTGACCCCTGTTGCAGTATGGTGCTGCTGCAGCCAGCATATGTGGTTGCAGCAGCACCTCTGCACTGCACACTTACCGGCTTTTCCCTCACTCGATTTTCGCGGGTCCGCTCGGCTCCGCCTCCTCGCCCGTGATTGGCCGCCTGTGTACCTTTCCTGAGCTACAGTTCTGGCGGCCAATCACCGGTGAGGAGGCGGAGCCGAGCGGCAGGAGTGAGGGAGTGGCCGGAGTGACGGAAGGAGCAGCGCTTCCTGGATGGATCATCGTGGGAGCCAGGTAAGAGACAGCAGCCCTCTGCCCACCCCTGTACGCGCTCCCCTTGACGGAGCCTCGCGCCCCCCCTGGCAGACGTTGACTCTAGTATAAGCCGAGGGGGCCGTTTTTCAGCACAAAAAATGTGCTGAAAAACTCGGCTTATACTCGAGTATATACGGTACTCTTTTTGAAATGCTATCTACCCCTGCCTTAAAGGGTAACTCCCTTTTTCATAGGCAAAAAATTAGATCAAAAACAATATAACATATAAAATGGTTACACAAGCCATATTGAAATGGAATTTTTATTAAATCAATCCTTTTCAGTCTGCAGCGCTATAATTTTCTGTAACTCTCAGTACAATGGAGGGCTTTGTTTTAAAGTAAGTTGCACATAATGTGTTGGTATGTGACGCATACTAGCACATTATGACATTGCCCTACAGGGGGATCTTTATTTTTTTTTTTAATGATTAAGTTTACTACCGCTTTAAAGTGTTACAAAACCCAGGGCCCTGCATCCACTATATCGGGTCTCCCACACTACACAGAACATGGAAATGCAATTATTTTAGTAAATATACACTGTTAACCGCTTGCCTACAGGGCACTTATACCCCCTTCCTGCCCAGGCCAATTTCCAGCTTTCAGCACTGTCGCACTTTGAATGACAATTGCTCGGTCATACAACACTGTACCCATATGAAATTTTTATAATTTTTTTGTGACAGAGCTTTATTTCAGTGGGTATTTAACCTCTTGCCGACCGCGCATAGCCGAATGACGGCTTCACCGCGGCCGGCCAGTTCTGAGTGGACGTCATATGACGTCCTCCCAGAACGCGCTCTCCTGCGCGCCCCAGGGGGCGCGCACCCGGCGATCTCCGTGATCGCTGTGTCCTACGGACACAGCTGATCACGTGATGTGGTGAAAGGCCGATCCCACCGGCCTTTTACCACGTGATCAGCGGTGTCCAATGACACGCTGATCACAGGGAAATGCAAGTGCCGGTTCTCGGCTGCACTTTCCTCACGCTGTCAGATCGTGAGGAAAGTACTGCCGAGAACCGGCAGTTGTCAGAGCGGGGATCGGCACCGATCATCGGGGCACTGATGATCAGTGCCCTGATGATCGGTGCCCAGCAGTGACACCCGCAAGTTCCGCCCAGCAGTGCGCCCACTAGCCCCGCCCACCCGTTCCCAGCAGTGCACCCACCTGTGCCACTCTGCAGTGCCACCCACCTGTGCCCAGCAGTGCCACCCACCTGTGCCCAGCAGTGCCACCCACCTGTGCCCAGCAGTGCCACCCACCTGTGCCCACCCACCAGTGCCGCCCACCAGTGCCACCAGCAGTGCAGCCCAGCAGTGCTGCCAGTCAGTGCCACCAGTCAGTGCCCAGGGGTTGTGCCAGTCAGTGCCGCCAGTCAGTGCCCAGAAGTGATGCCAGTCAGTGCCGTCTATCAGTACCCATCATCAGTGTCACCTATCAGTGCTGCATATCAGTGCCGCCTATCCGTGACCCCTAATTAGTGCTGTCTATCAGTGCCGCCTATCCGTGCCACCTCATTAGTGCCGCCTATCAGTGCCCTTTAGTGCCGCCTATCAGTGCCCATCAGTGCCCATCAGTGCCGCCTCATCAACGCAAATCAGTGAAGGGAAAAAAAACCTGTTTGAAAAATTTTATAAAAGAAACAAATAAACTTTTTTTTTTTTTTCAAATTTTTTGCACTTTTTTTTAATTTATAGCGCAAAAAGTAAAGCGCCCAGTGGCGATTAAATACCACCAAAAGAAAGCTCTATTTGTGAAAAAAAAAATGATCAAAATTTCATATGGGTACAATGTTGCATGACCGCGCATTGTCAATCAAAGTGCGGCAGCGCTGAAAGCTGAAAATTGGCCTGGTAAGGAAGGGGGTATAAGTGCCTGGTAGGCAAGTGGTTAATCACCTCTAGGTTTTTTATTTTTTCTTAAACAAACCAGAAACCACTGAAAATTTTGAAAAAAAAAAAAAGTTTTTTTCTTAGTTTTTG